GGGGCCCACACGCCGGGGGGCCCGGCTCGCCTGCCTCCCTGCCCTTGGGGCCGCCCGCGCCGTCCAGCTGCCTCTTGTTCACAAAGGGCCCAGGCTCTGCAGCGCTGTCCTTGCCCCGGGGGGCGGGAAAGCTCAGGGGGGCGCCCAGGCCTGCCGCCTCGGGGACCTTGTGGGAGAGAGAAGCACCATCACTGAAGCTGTGTAAACTGAGGTCGGCGGCCAGGCCCCCGCTGAAGGCGAAGCCGTTGGGAGGGTTGCTGCTTGGGCTCAGCCCGCCTGCCCCCGACAGGGCACCGGGAAAGCTTTTCCTGGGGTGGGCGGCCAGCTTGGCGTCGGCCGAGCCGGGCTCCTCCAGGGGGGGCCGGAAAGCGAACAGGGAGTTCTGGCTCAGGGCGGAGCCGGCCTGCAGCGGGCTGTCGGCACACTTGGCCAGGCCGAGGTCGGAGATGGGCGAAAAGGTAGACTTCCACTTGCTGCTGTTGGTGGGCTCACTGGCAGGGGTCGGCTTCCTCCCAGCCAGGCCACCACCTGCCGAGGAGACGTGCAGCCCGTGAGGCGCAGGCACCTCCGAGGGCCGAGCGGGGCAGGAGACGAGGTGCTGGGCCTCTGAGGGGCCGGGGGCTCAGAGACACCCCTCCCACCCAAGGGAAGCGTGCTGTGGTCCATAACTAGGCCTGTTGGGGGGGCCGGGTGGTGCCGAGCAGGCCGAGGGTGGGGCGGGAGGGGAGCCGGGCACCAGAGCCTGTGCGAGAGGGGACGAGGCAGGCGTGTAAGCAGAGAGAGTCAGACTCCGGCCTGGGCCAAACAGGAGGGGACGGGACTGCCGCCCGGCAGCACCGGGACCAACAGCCGTGGGGACGGCTTTCTAGGTCCCGCTGTCCACGCAGGCGGCACTCAACATTGCCCAGAGACCATTCTAGAAGCCCAGCGTCCAGGCCACGCCCTGGGGCTGAGTCACCTTCAGCCCGGGGGAGATACAGGACAGAACGGGGAGGAAAGTCACTCACCGTTTTCCAAGGTTTTCGGGGGAGATCTGCTTTCTAAGGAGATTGTCGCAATTTTTCTCTCAATTCTATCGAGAAAAACATAGGCGGCAGATGTTTGAAATCCATTTGCACGGCAGAGGGCTGTGTGTGCACGCTGCTGCCTGGGGAGGCGGGGAGGCAGGCGGCACGCAGCCCGCCTGCCCTCAGACCCCTTTACAGGCAACTGTGGCTCCCAGGCCTCTCGTGTGCCGTGCAGGACGCCGCCAGTGGCAGGCGATAGGGCCGAGGCTCGGGCACAGGGGCACCAAATCCGTATGTTCTACGTGTCAGTATCTCCAGAGCACGTGCCAAGAATGCTATGACCTCCAGAAACACAGGAAAAGTTCCAAAAGGATCTGGAAACTACTAGGTTGGACATTCCCAACACAAAACAAAAGCACTCAAGTGCAAAATTTCTAGAAACATAACTTAGGTACCCGGAAGAGGAACAGAATGAATCACCCTAGACAAGAAACCGAAAGCACAGGCAAGATAAGCAGGCAAAGAGGAATGGGGCTGGACCAAAGTCTAACTCTGCCCTTCGAAGGACACCAGCAAGAAACTGAAAAGAAAGCCCAGAGAAAGGAAGAAAACGTTCAAGGATCAGATCTCTGATAAAGGATGGCGTCTAGAACACGTAAAGAACTCTGACAGTCGAACAAAAACCCACCCAACGACGCCACACACAAGGAGCACCTGGACGCACGTTTCTCCAAAGACGCACAAATGGCCAAGCAGCGCACGAGAGAACGCTCACCGTCACTGGTGATTGAAAGAGAAGGAACCCACAACTACGAAACGCTGTGCCCGTAAGAACGGCTGCTACGTTAAAAAAAAAAAACAGTTGGGGCACCTGGGTGGCTCAGCTGGTCAAGCATCTGACTTCCGCTTAATCATGATCTCACGGTCCGTGAGTTCGAGTCCCGCGTCCGGCTCTGTGCTGACAGCTCGGAGCCTGGAGCCTGCTTTGGGTTCTGTGTCTCCGTCTCTCTCTGTCCCTCCGCCCACTTGTGCTCTCCCTCACTCTCCCTCTCTCTCTAAATTAATATTAAAAAAATCGTAAATAGGTAGGTAGATGACAAAACCGGAAAATAACAAGTGACGCGGAGAAACTGGCACCCTCACCCGCGGCCGGGGGACGTGAGACGAGGCAGCCACTGCGGAAAAGTCTGGAGGTTCCGCAAAAAGCTAAACAGAGTCACCGTGTGACCCAGCAATTCTACTTCTGGGTAAACGGGAAACACTATTTTTTTTGGAAAACACTTTCAAACAAAAACACGTGTGTGAAACTTCACAGCAGCATAGTCCTCATTAACTGAAAAGTGGCAACACCCACCCCAGGGTCCCTCCGTGGATGAAGGACAAACACGGTGTGTCCACCCACACACCGGAATGTGACCCAGCCCCAGGGAGGAAGGACGTCCTGCCGCCTGCCACCATGTGGACGGACCCGGAGGCCACTGTGTGCGGTGACAGGAGCCGGACACAGAAGGGCACGTCCCGCGTGACCCCATCACAGGGGGTCCCCGGAGGAGTCCCGTCCACAGAGACAGAGAGTGGATGACGGGAGCCAGGGCTGGGGCAGGGGGCAGGGAGTGACGGATAAGGGGGCTTGTTTTCGGGGTGACAACAACCTCCTCCAATTGGCACTAGCGACGTTTGCACCACTCTGAACACGCCCCCGACCCCCAGATCGCGCTCCAGAGACGTGCTGCGGGAATCCGCGCCAGTGAGACCGCCACGCACAAAAGAGAAGCCCTTCGTGACCCATCACGCCCTGGGTGAAGCGTTCACCAGCAGCGCAGAGCTCGGCCTCCTCGAGCGCTTTCCTGCCATGGCCGCCTGCGCCCCGGACGAGAAACAACAGAGCGGCCCCCACGCCGGGGCCTCCAAACCCGGGTGGCCGGCCCTGCCCTGGACCTTGAATCTCAGGTGGGTGGGAAGGCGGCCAGGGCCCTCCACAGACAGCAACTCGCCGAGCGGAGGCCAACACCCTGGAGACACTGTCCGCCCGAGGACGGCCGCTCTGGGGGACCGCGGACAGCAGCCGAGGGGTCGTGCCCCCCGTGCCCCCCAACTAATGGCAGCCGGACGCCGCCTGTCCTTCACCCGGGCCCTGCCCTGGGAGGGGCCCCGCCGGATCACGAGGGCCTCTCCTCCCTCCCGCGAAAGCTGCCCTGCCTGGCCCCCCTCACCTGGTGCTGCCCGGCTCATCCTCGGAGCCCTGCTCCTCGTCCGAGGTCAGTGGAGAGTAGTGGGCCCCGTTGGTCTGGCTCAGGGGCTTCTCCTTCTTGAGGACGGGCGGCTGGTCGCTGTCCTGGTAGGGGACAGGGGAGCTCTTCAGGCTCTCGGGGGACGAAATGGCCGTGATTTCCAGAGGCTGGTTAATGTTGCTAACCTGAGGGACCAGCACAGACACAGCACGACCCCGTCAACAGGCTCCCAGAGCACCGACACCCAGGGCTGTGCTTGGGACCCTCCCACCCTGACCCGCTCCGGATCTCAGACCGGACCCTCCGGGGGAGTGCCAGGGCGAGGGGGCCGAGGCCTGGCTGTGCTCCGGGAGCCCTGCGGCCCCGGCCGGGCTGGGCACAGAACACGCCCTCCCACCCCTGCCCCCGCCCGTTCCCAGCCTTACCATGGAGTTGAGGTTCAGGGGGGACCCTGAAGACTGTCGTGAAGAGGCTGACCACGACGATGAACCAGCCAGGCTGCGCCGCTGAGCTCAGAAGCCGGGGTCCCTCCGCCGCTCGAACTTCCTTCTGCCCGCTGCGTGCTGCCTGCCCGTGCCCTGGCTGCCTCCCCACTGGCCCCAAAGTGCAGAGGCTGGGCTTGCTGGGAGGCGACTGCTTGGTGCCGCCCCCGCCGGCCGAGACGGTGAAGACGATCCTCCGCTTGGCTTCGCCCTCGGGGTCCGAGAAGCCGGCCTCGGGAGGAAGGTCCCCTTTGTTGGCGTCAGGGAGCGGACCCTGGGCGGCACCGCCCAGGCGGGGGCTGGCGCAGAGCGGGTGGGCGGGCGAGGCTGCGCCAGAGCCGCGGGGCTGCGGCAGCAGGGGCGGGTGCTGCGGGGTGGAGCCACAGGACCCCACGCTGGCAAACAGACCGCCTGCGCTGGGGACCTCGTCAAAGGTGCCGGGATCTGCTCCGGAAGCGAGGGGGGCTGGGCTGACGGCCACCGAGCCCGCGTAGAAGCCTGCCGGAAAAGACAGCTTCTCAGGGGAGCCCGGCGCAGAGTGGCCAAGGGGACCCGCGCGGGTGCAGCTGGTGAGGGAGCTCGGCACCCACGAACCTGCCCTACACGTGGTTCCCTCGAGCACCCGGACACAGGCGCCCGCGCGCCAAGCTCGGCGGTGCGAGAGATGCCCGCCCAGCCCCGGGCGCCCCTGGGCTCCCGGCACTTCTGGACTGGGGGCCCGCAGCTCCGGACGCGCGCTGGCACCCCCAGGGAGCCTCACCAAGCGTGGGGGAAGCCCTGAGCACGCGAACGTCTTTTGTGCAGACCGAGGCCCGGCCCCGGTGCTAGGGGGGCTGCCGTGCCAGGAACTGGAGGCAGGGTCTCCCTTCCTACAGGCCACATGTCGGCACGGGGGCCGGCTAACTCAAGACCAGCCCGTGGGTCCAGCGGTCTGGGCGCCTGCTGCGTAAACGCCATCGTCGGCACACACATCCCGGGCCACGCGCTCCGCAGCCACAGAGCCGCACAGGGGGGCCGAGACCCAGCGGACCGCGGAGTGCCACCTGGCTGCCTGCTACAGAAAGCCCGTGGGGCCTCTGCCAGCGCGTGCGGCCTCAACCACTGGCGTTCCCTGAAGGAGAACCCACCGGGCTAGAAACGCCCACAGCAGCTTGACGAGGACATCACCTACCGGCTGAGGCCCACCTCCCGGGCTGAAATACAGCCAGAGCGAGCGCGTTCACGTCGGGAAGCCGAGGCCCAGGGGTCGCGAGCCCTGCCGAAGCCCACACGAGAAGCCCCCAACCGCCTAGAGCTGGTCGTGTTGTGTGACGACAGCCCCAATGCCACGCCTCAGACCCCACGGCCGGGAGGAGGTGGGCCAGCTGGGCCACGGGGGAAGGGCCAGGGGCAGGGACTCAGGAGCAGGAGGAGCCCACCGACCTGCAGGGGCTGGGGCGAGACTTTTGCTTCCGGCGCTGTGTGCATTAGCGCCCATCTGCTTTTCAAGTGTGGACAAGGACTCTCGGGTCTGCGGCACGGGGCTGGGGGTGCTTCTCTGTGGAGAAAAAGGATGCGCTGTCAGCTGAGCCTGGGCTGGCAGGTGAAGGTCAAGAAGAGTGTCCCAGATGTAAGCCACGGGAGGTGCAAAGGGCCGGAGGCAGGGAGAACGGCAGGTAGGTGAGAGCTGGCCCATAGGAGGAAAGGGACCTGCTTGGGTCTGAGCACCGTGGGCGGTCACCAGAAGGTTCTGACAAGGCGACTTGGGTTCGAAAGGCTAGCTGTGGCTAACGGCGAACGTCAGGCTAGCGACGCAGGGATCAAGGAGAGACGGGACGGGCTGCAGCTATGACGTAATCAGTGATTCCACTCCTCTACGGAACGGGGCGAAGACGCCACCCACACCAAACCTGTGCGTGCACGTTCACGGCAGCGTGATCCACAATGGCCAAAGGTGGAAACAAACGTCCACCCTCGGACAAACAGAGAAGCCAGCGTGGCCCTCCACACACGCACATGTCCCTCGGCCGCCAGCAGGAGCGAGGCGCCCACCCCCGCCGCCCCGCAGACGGACCCCAAACACGCGACGCTCAGGGAGGGAACCCGACACGAGAGGCCACACGGGGTGGGAGTCCACCTGTGTGAATGAACCTGTGAACGGGTACGGCTGCATAACTGAACGTATTAAAACCACTAAAGTATGCTCTACGTGGGTGGGCCGTCCGTGACTCGCGTCTCAATTAACACAAAGTAAGGCCCGCATCACACGAGACTTTGCCATTTCTGCCACTCGCGGGGGCACACACGTGAGGCGGGAGGGCCAAAGGTGAGCCAGCAGGAGGGGAGACGGGCTGCACGCCTGTACCGAATCCAGACTTCTAGTCCCTCTCCACCCGCGCGTGCCCCCTTTTACAAAAACAGACCTGAAACAAACA